TAGGGTCTTTCCGATAAGTCCGTAGGGTCTTTCCGATAAGTCCGTAGGGTCTCTCTAAAAAACCTTACTACTTGTCGGAAAAAACCTCACTACTTTTCGGAAAAAACCCCACATTCGGAGTAACCTTATTAAAAGTAGTAAGGTTTTTTCCGAAAAGCAGTGAGGTTTTTTCCGAAAAGCAGTGAGGTTTTTTCCGAAAAGTAGTAAGGTTTTTTAGCTAGACCCTACGGACTTATCGGAAAGGCCCTACGGACTTATTGGAAAGACCCTACGGACTTATCGGAAAAAACCTCACTACTTATCGGAAAAAACCTCACTACTTATCGGAAAAATATAGGATCCCTAATTTGACCTATCTAATCTAATTTTGAATTTAACCACCAGATAGCGCTAGAGATCTTAATACGCCATTAATTACTGTTCTTTTCGTTTTATGTATTTGTTTGTCTGTTTTATCATTTGAGGTAGGTTGTATAAGCGGCCTGCAGAGACGTGACTGTAGATACTTGTCCGCCACACATTTTTCAAAGTATAGCCTACTGTAGGCTACTGGCGGCATTTTAATTTTGCTCTGTCGATAAAGAAAGTTTCGAGGTATTAACCAATAACCGATAATGTCACCTACCAAAATTTTTATAGATATAATTAGTCTTCAAATTAAACATTATTTTACTATTTCTTACTAATTTTTCTTCCATTTCCCAGGTGTTCTATTCGTTTCTATATATTATATATATATTATATATATCGATTTATAATAATCGATTTTTATTGTTCGAGTTTAATAAATTATATATTATTTAGACAATTATTATTTTATTATATACTATTTTAATTTATTCGAATATTTTTATGTTATAGATAGAGAAAAACAGTGTAAAGTTTTATTAACCTGTCATCCTATTGTTAAGATGTCGTCACTTGTATTTTAGAGGATTTCATTTACCGACTGTATTTTGACGGCCATTTTGATTCTGTCATCGGTAATTGGTGCAGTCTGATGTAAATTTTTTTGCATACCCGTTAATTTCAAGGTAATTAACAATTATTTTCTAACGTAAAATTTTCTTTATATATATATATATATTAATCAATTATTTTTTAACAAGTAATTTTCAAGTGACATAATTGTAAGGTTAGAATGATATATATACAGAATAAATAATATTTGCATAGAAAATAATTTTATGCAATATGTTATATACTTGTATGTATTAAAATTTAGAAACAATTCTAATTATGGTTTTTAATATATTACAGCTTTCGCGCGTAATGAAACAAATGAAAAACAAATATTACTGTAAAAATTTCAACACATTGGCCAAAGTGAGAATAAAAACATCGTAGCATCGAAAAAACTGTCTTTTCTTTGTTCAATGTAAGTACAACACACAAAACAATTGCATAAATAAACAATTGAAGAACAATTTTTTTTTCACAAGGTTATCATAACCTCAAATTCATTTCATTAATATACAATATAATCATTTATCTGCTTTATTTATACAGTTTTATTTTAATTCATTACGATTCCTTTTTATTATATTTTTTATTTTATATTAGATTTTAATAAATAAATAAATAAATATATATATATATATATATATATATATATAATTATGTTTATAGTAGTTCTGAGTTTGAAAATCCATAAAATGTAATTTTTTGGCATTTCGAATATCATTTTTGTAATTTTCTTTTATGATACAGTTCTGTTACTTTGAAGTAACATTGGTCTATGAAGAAATCTTCTGTATATTTAGGATCACGCTTTTGTGTTCCATCGAATTTTGGAAATAATTGAAGAAGTCGCTGCAGCAAACAATTCTTGACCATTTTTATCAGTTTTATTTGAGGAAAAGATTCAAAGATTCTAGAAGAATAAATTTTTACGAAAAAAATAGATAAATTAGACCAATGGTCAATACTTAGCTGTTATATAAACGAGACTGTTCATTACATTCTGTAAGACCCCGAAATCAATTAAACTTAATAGCATTTAAAATTAAAATTGCATCCTGTCTATGTCAGGAGTACAAAGGAATTCGTAAAAAAAAGGGGACATCTTTTTTCCACCAATGTAGATAAACAATTATAAAGAATATATAAAGAAGACCAAGTACAATACTTCCATCAAAAAACGTGCCAAAAGATGAAGTATATTTATATATATTTACTAGGGGTGCCTCGTCTTTAAGTCAACGAATTACTTTATACCACCATCTGTTAGAATCTTATCGAACTAACACAGATAATCATGACTCTTTGTTAATAAACAAATAATACGCAATAATATTCTATCTTTCAAGTTGGATGAAACTACACACAGTGTGCAATATTTTGTTAAAATCGGTTCAGTAGTTTAGGAGTCCACTGCAAACAAACAACGTGACACGTAATTTATATATATTAAGATGTGTAACGCCAAGTAAAAACTGTTTCGTAGAGTTTAACGCTTAATTTTTGATACACAGAAGTATGAATATTATAGGCCGTTGTGTTACCTGAAAGTCACATATTGAATATACTGCAATAAAATTGTTTAAACAACAAAATTTTATGTTCATGTGCATATATATGTTTATAATTGCTGATTTTTCGTTCCCCCAATTTTTTTTGGATTGAAAAACAAGAATTTGGCTTATATAGAGGGTTCAATTGTATTTTTATACTCAAGGTATTTTAGATTCTTAAAAATGATATGATATCTAAATGATGGATACTTACGTATTAACGCCACCGCAGCAAAATTCAGCTAATGCGTAACTCCTTGCACCAGCAGTATATGAATCTCAAAGTTAAACAAAATGGAATTCTGCTTAATTCAAACCAGCTGTCTTTTCTAAGTCCCACTTGCTGATCACACTGTTTTAAATTACGTTTTCAAAACTTACGTTTACAAAAATAAAGTTTCATGTAATGGGAATTGGTACATTTTTGTTTTTTAAGTAAAATATTTCGCTCCTGAAAAAACAAAATTGCATTTTGTTCTGTTTTTGGCAAATCCTAAATACGCATTATCGTGGCACTAAAAAATGACGAAACCCTGACGGTTGCTGTGTGCAAACAACAAGGTTGTTGTGTGCGAACAATAAGATTGCTCTTTATTAGCGCATTAGCGGAATTTCTGCTGCGATGGCGTTAATACCAAAGTACTAAATGATGTTTTAATATGTATATGCATTGTAATTAATTTACCAAAAATTTGAGATAAATTAACACGTTCACGCCGGTTCGTACCACCAGTGGTCCACCTTGGTCCAGGTTTGAACAAGCAAAAATCTTGCGCCGCCAGATGAAGCGCACCATAGATTCGAGTGCCGCTCCACAGCGCAGACACTGAAAATCAGCGCCGGCGTCAACGTGTTAAACAATTTTGTATAATTTTCATTTAATAATATTTATTAATCATTTTTTATTTATAATTTGTAGATACAGGTAGGCCTCTTACAACGCGGCATTCTATAACAAGGTTTCCTTCCAAAAAATCTTTTATACAACTGAGCAGCCTGAAAGCAAAAGTGTCTCACGCTTTTGGTCGGTAGACTACGTTAAGCCACGGTGTTTTAAAGAATAATTTTGTCATCTTTAAGACATTAAGTATCAGTCGCAAACCACCATGTCCGATAAAGATAAAAAAATAATTTTAAGAAGAAAATTTATTTCTTTAGAAGCGAAGATACAAATTTTGGATCGTCTTTTAAAAGGTGAAAAAGCATCTCACATTGCAAAAAGTTTGAATTTGAATGAAGCAACAGTTCGGACTATTAAGAAAAATGAAAAAGAGATAAGAAGTGCAGTTGCTGCAGGATCATTGATATCCGCAAAACGTTCGGCTCGTCCTCGTGCGCCAATAATTGAGAAGATGGAAAAGATACTCAGAGATTGGATTGATGATTGTTGTCAAAAAAGTATTCCATTGGATGGTAATATAATTAGACAAAAAGCACTGAAGGTTTATAAACATCTTAAAGAACATGGAGAATCCTTTGTAATACCAGATTTTGTTGCTAGTAAAGGTTGGTTTGAAAAATTCAAAAAACGTTTTGCAGTTCATAGTATAAAAATTCAAGGAAAATCTGACTCGGTTGATCATGAAGCTACTAAAACGTATCCAGAAAATATACAAAAGATTGTAGAAGAGGAAGATCAGGTTTTCAATGCTGACGAAACTACACTTTGGTGGAAAAAAATGCCCAATAGAACGTTTATATCGAAAGAATCTTCAGGTGAAATAGAAAATGTGCATGAATCGTCACAAAATGAAATTGATAATATATTTGAACTTGCCGAATCAATCGAAAATGATGATCTTGTGAATATGGCTGTTGAGAACGTTCAATGTTTATTATCGGAAGATGAAGTTGACGTTGCTAATTTGATGAAAATGGCATCGGAAGATGTAAATCAAATCGATCCTGAGGACTCTAGTACTGATGAAGATTGTTCAGTTAATAATTTAACATTAACAAAATTACAAGAAGGTCTAAACTTAGCTAAAAATCTCGAATCATTTTTCTTGAATGCAGATACTTCCTCAGAAAGAAGCCGAAATTTCAAAAGGGAGCTGCAAAATTGTTTAGCTCCATATCTAGAAATTTACAATGATCTTTTAAGAAACAGCAAGCAAAGTAAAATTACAGATTTTTTCAAGATAGAAAATAATGCAGGAACTTTAATTGAAGAAAAATGTTTTGAAAATGAAGATGATATCATTCCATTGAAAAAAAAACGTTCTCGATTGATTAAATTGAGCAGTGACGATGAAGAAATTTCTTAACTGTAAATTTACATTAAGATATTTTCAATATCTTATTATTTTATATAAAAAAAATGACGTGTGAAGAAATATTTGGACAAGAATTTTGATTTTAATTATCAAAAGAGTTTGACTTGATCGAATATCAGAATGAGAGACAGTTGAGCAATGAATGTTCATCAAAAATAATAATAAATACAGCTACAGATTGTTCTGGACAGAAATCTTGTCAAATCAAAAGTAAAAAATAATAAAAAGGTATTTGGAAAATGTGCAACACAAAATGCTTTTATTTGTAACAAAATTTTACTGAAAATGCATAAAGGTAAATAAAACTTACTTAAATAGAAATGTCATAGTCCGTTTTTTTTTTTTTTCATGGTTTTAGAAAGATTTTTTTTTTACCAAAGTCCTTTTTTTCTTTATAGTTTTAGGAAAATTGTTGACTATATAGTCTTATTCTTTTTATGGTTTTAAGAGAACATTTATCGTTATCTCATTTTTTTTTTTTTCCAATAATTTCAGAAAAAAATCATTTGAAAATCAATCGATATATTTTTTTTTTTTTAATTTAAATTTGAAAAAAAGAAATTGATTTGCGTTCATTTGTAAATGGATCTCTGACGCAGCAACCTCCCAGTGGTGAGATCCGGTAACCGATATTGTTTATGGTGACCATACAATTTGTATGATGCAACGTAAACACTATCGGGCCAATGGCTGACGTTTGATTTATTAGAAAATTGTAACTTATTGTTTAGTTAATTAATTGTTAATATTAATGAAAAATAATTTATCAAATTATTTATTTAATTATAATTTGTTAATTTGTTAATTGTTGTTTCAATTTTATTCATTTAAATTCATTTTATTTATATTGTAATATTTAATTTACATAAATAATTTTTAAGATAAGTTCAATTAAATCAATCCATGATTCTGATTAATTTGTTAATTGCAAATTGTTGTTTAAAATTTATTCATTTCAATTCATTTTGATTATTTTAGTACTAAATTCAAATAAATAATTTAACATAAATTCAATTGATGATTTTAAATGATGATTGTATTGAAACAAACTAATGTATTTTAATTGCAAATTGTTGTTTCAATTTTATTCATTTAAATTCATTTTATTTATTGTAGTATTAAATTCAAATAAATAATTTAACATAAATTCAATTGATGATTTTAAATGATGATTGTATTGAAACAAACTAATGTATTTTAATTGCAAATTGTTGTTTCAATTTTATTCATTTAAATTCATTTTATTTATTGTACTATAAAATTCATATAAATCATTTTTAGGACAAATTCAATCAATAATTCTGAATAATTAATTTGTTAATTGCAAATTGTGTTTTCAATTTTATTAATTCAAATTCAATTTATTTATTGTTATGTATAATTCATATAAATAATTGTTTATACAAGTTCAATCGATGATTCTGATTAATTTGTTTATTGCAATTTGTCGCTACAATTTTATTAATTTCAATTTATTTTATTTATTGGAATAGTAAATTCATAAATAATTTATGTCAAGTTTAATCAATTTTAATTAATTTGTTTCTTGCAAAGTGTTGTTTAAATTTTAATTAATTTTAATTTATTTTATTAATTGTAATATTTAATTAACATAAATTATTGTAAATAAAAGGTTCAATCAATGATTCTAGTTAATTTGTTAATTGCAAATTGTTGTTTCAATTTTATTAATTCAAATTCATTTTATTTATTGTAATATTCAATTCATATAAATAATTTTTCGGACAAATTCAATCAATAATTCTGAATAATTAATTTGTTAATTGCAAATTGTGTTTTCAATTTTATTAATTAAAATTCAATTTATTTATTGTTATGTATAATTCATATAAATAATTGTTTATACAAGTTCAATCGATGATTCTGAATAATTAATTTGTTAATTGCAATTTGTCGCTACACTTTTATTAATTCAAATTTATTTTAATAATTGTAATAGTAAATTCAAATAAATAATTTTTAAGACAAATCCAATTGATGATTCTAATTAATAATTTTGTTAATTGCAAATTGTTGTTTCAATTTTATTAAATTAAATACAATTAATTTATTGTTATGTATAATTCATATAAATAATTGTTTATACAAGTTCAATCGATGATTCTGAATAATTAATTTGTTAATTGCAAATTGTGTTTTTAATTTTATTAATTAAAATTCAATTAATTTATTGTTAGGTATAATTCATATAAATAATTTTTAAGACAAATTCAATCGATGATTTTGAATAATTAATTTGTTAATTGCAAATTGTTGTTTCAATTTTATAAATTCAAATTCAATTGATTTATTGTTATGCATAATTCATATAAATAATTTTTAAGACAAATCCAATTGATGATTCTAATTAATAATTTTGTTAATTGCAAATTGTTGTTTCAATTTTAATTAATTAAATTCAATTAATTTATTGTTATTTATAATTCATATAAATAATTGTTTAATGCAAGTTCAATCGATGATTTTGAATAATTAATTTGTTAATTGCAAAATTGTTGTTTCAATATTCCTAATTTAAATTCATTTTAATAATTGTAATAGTAAATTCAAATAAATAATTTAACACAAATTCAATAGATGATTTTAATTAATTTGTTTAAATAATTATTTATAAATATTGTACCTTATTTTGTTTTACATTAATGTTATATATATATATATATATATTTTTTTTTTTAGGTTAGAAAACAATTGCATGATATTTCAATTATAAGATTGATAATTAACAAATATTTTTAATGTAAACAAAACAGAAAATTAAATTAAACTTTTAAAATAATATTCATTATAAAAATCTATCCTAATTAATCGATAATATACAAAAATTATATTTATTTAAAAAGTTCAATTTTTATTTTCCTACGTGCAATTGTATGAAGAAAAAAAAATTGAAAAAAAAAAAAAATAAATATGAATATGATAAATATTTGTAAAATGGGTTTAAGGTGAAAAAAAAAATAAGAAAAAGAAATATTTCTTGACATTTCACATACTTTTTTAACAGTTACAAAATAATATCAATGTATATGTATTTATATACAGGTATGTATGTGTACGTGCTAAGCGTAATAATACTCGTGAGTTCTTCGTTTATGTCAATTTCACGATCGTATTTTCACTCGTAAAAAAAAAAAATATAAATATTTCGAGACGCATGATTGAATACGATGTATTTGTATTAGTTAACGCATTTGTTAAAAAAATAAAAAAAATAAAAATAAAAAAAAAAATAAGAAAAATATTTTCCGTGTCAAAATTTACAAAAAAAAAAAAGAAAAAAAAAAGAAAAAAAGAAACGAATATAATATTCGTAAGAATTATCAGGAAATATTTAAAATGTAAAATAAAAAAGAAATAAAAAAATAAAAAAAAAGAAACAGAAAAAAATATATTAAAACAAAACAATTCTTTTTTAAACAAGTAAGAAGTTAAAATTAAAAAAAAAAATAAAATAATAAATAAAATAATTAAACAACAATAATTAAAAAATTAATAATTAACTTTTAACATCGAATGTTACGAAATAAATTTATAAAAAACAAAAAAATGTGTATTATTTGGAAAAATGTTTATTATTAAAAAAA